CGGAGGAGCTTGAAAGTTCGCACCCTCAACCTCTTTTGCCTCAGGGAGCCCGATACGTTCTGCTCGCTACCTGCGCACATTCCGGCTGCTGCGGCTCCTCCGGCTGCTGCGGGTTGCCAAGCTCCAGCAGGTGGCTCGAGATCAGGGGATCAGTGCTAATGAAGACTTTAGGCTTTGGGCTTCTGCAGTTCAGAGTTCCGGGTTTCGGGCTGTTGCTCGTCCTGGCTTTCAAGCAAACCCTAGAAAAACCATCTCCGAACGATTTTACAGCCCCACGCTGCTGTAGTGACAGGAGCTGACACTGCTGGCGAACCACTTCCTGTCCACCTATGCCTTCATGGTGTGGCTTGCAGAGGGGGGCCCTTTCAGGATCATGGTTTAGGGTTTGGGGATTTTGGGGGGTCAGGGCTTAAGGGGCCGCGGGAGGTTATTCGGAATTGCAGGGTTGCCTTTGATTCCGAGTGTCTGTCTGTCTGTTGGTCGAGGTATGTAATGCAGGTATGCCTGGATGGATGAACGGATATGCATACATGCGTGCATGTATGCGCGTGTGGTCGGTCGGGTGCCGCTTTGTGCTCATTTGTTCTTTCTGTTCAGTTCTACTTATCTGGTCGCGTGCTGATCGTTTGAACGATGTTTCGTTATAGTTATGGCTGTTGTATTGATCTGTCTGCAATGTATGCTTGTTGACCTGTATATAAACACAAAGATGAGCGCATGATAGATAGGTACATAGATAAACAGATAAGATAGCTAGGCAGGAACCGAAGGCGAAGTCTTAAATTTTACGAAGCCGAGGCCCCACACCCAAGAGGGGACTGCACCCTGAAAACCACCAGAGGGAGGTATTAGAGTTTTGGGTTTAGAGTTTAGGTATCTTGAATCACCAGAGAGAGGTCATGAAGATCGTGTCGGGGCTGCTGATGATCCTCGCCGTGAACCATGTCATCGCCTGTTGCTGGTACGGCCTGGGCAAGTGGCCGCTGGGAGATTCAATTCTTTTCATGTTTTATTTTATTTTTTCCTGGGTTTTAGTTTCCAGATGTTTAGGGTTTGGATCACGGGGTTGATAGGGGACCCCTGTGGAGGGGGCCCCCGTGGGTTGCCAATGGGGGCCAATGGGGGCTAATGGACTTCCCGCTTGCCCCCATTAGGGCCTGATTGGCAATTGCAAACTGCAACTCAAAGAGGCCCCCCCTATGGTTTTCGGAGTTATACGGTTCTCCCTCATGAAACAACTTAATGACCCTATACAGAACCTTACAGAGCCACCTCGCAGCACGCAAAACTCGCAACAGAACCACACAAGACCCCAAACCCTAAATCCTATGGCCTATGGCCCCTTAACCCTAAGCCCTATGGGCACATGGCAAGAACCCCCAGGACCTTAGACTCTTCAAGTGGCAGCAGCTGGCTCGTAAATGCAAACATGGAAGAGGCTGGGCATCATGGCATGTGTGAAAGGCTCTATTAAGGGCTCACCCCAAACCCTTAACAAAAACCGTAGTGGGGTGTTGTAGGGTTCTATTGGGGGTTCTACAGGACTTTTGGGGTTTATATGGTGTTAAAGAGTTCGAAGCGGGTTTAGAGGCCTTTAGATTCGGGGTCCTGTCATTTAGGGTCCGTGCTGGCTTCGATTTAGAAGGAAAATGCCGGACTTAGGGTGTAGGGTTTAGGGAGTTTGAGGGTTTTGAGTGTGCGACTTCGGATGTTTCAGAGTGCAAGGCTGGATTGAAGGATGCTGGCTCGTGAGGCTTCACAGAGGCCCTTGACCCTTTTTGCCTTCAACTTTGCAAGTAGGCTGCAGGAAAAACTCAGGAGCACCTTCTTATAGCCTGCCTGACATGAATCAACGACTCCATGGTTTCACATCGTATAATATAATATAGCATATTGTGGTTGAACGGTTTGTATTGGGGCTCCGTGCATCAGCCCAGCCTGAAATTCCTTAAGCTGTCGGCTCATTGCTTTAAGTGCCAAAGGCCGAAACCCTGAAGGTTTAGGCTTCAGTATGGTGTTCAGCGTAGGGTGTGGTATCACATGGAGTGTAGGGGTTATAGCGTAGAGCGTTTGGGGGTTTAGGGTTTCAGGGTTGTGGGTTTTCGAAGTCGCCAAACTGTGCCTTCAGCCCGAGCCAGGCCGGCTTCTCCGACTCCTATGCCGTGCCGCTTCGCGATCCATTCGTGAGCCCGGAAAACCCTAAAAACCCTGAAGCTGGGTTCACAAATGACAAAGCACCTTCCAAAGATACAGCCTTGGGTCCCAGACTCCCAGACATTAAACCCCCACGCCCCCAAACCAATCCTTAAGACCAAGCCTTTGGCCCTACACACCCCAACCCCACCGCACCCAAAACCCCCAATGCCAACTCCTCAACCACCAAACTTCCCCAAAGCCCCAACGACGGATCGCTTCTTTTCTTGGGTGCCCCCGCGGGATGGGAGACCTCTGTGAGGTCGATCCACTGGGCCCTGACGCAGTTTCTGGGCTCGTGTTAAGGAGTTTTTGTTGAAATCACGATAAATTTTTGTCTATAGCAAACAACGTGCTTTCCTTATTCTTATAATAATAATAATAAAAATAACCATTATTATTACTATGATTATGGTAGCTTGAATTACGTTCCGTAGCAAGAACCCAGGTTCACTCCTGCCACGAACAACGTGGCTCCTGCCAATGCTCTCGAGAGGCTTTTGGGGGTTTTGGGGGGCTTGGGGACTGTCGCCGCTTCTGCCTATGCGCCGGAGAGGGGGCTTCGATGATTCCAAGGGTTTAGGATCTCAGGTCATTCTGCCAATGTCCCGAAGAGGAATCCTAAACCGCAAACCCTAAACCCTAGAAGATAGTCCCCGAGCTCTTCGGGGCCTTCCGGCTTCGGGTCGGGACTCGACTGCGCGAAGACATGGAGCCGTTGCCGCACAAGCAGAACCGTGTAATAGGGTTTTACACCTGGAAACATAGCTAGAGGCGATGCCAAAGTAGGTTCTTGGGGCCTCTGTCTTGCTCGGAGGCTTTTCGCCGTGTTGGTGATCCTCTTGGCAATGGGCATGTTTTCCTCCTTCATCAGCTCAATCACGGCGACGGTGAGCACGCTGCGACAATCGCGCTCCGAGCACTTCAAGCGCCACTCTTTCCTGGTCCGCTTCTTCAACGAGCGCAATCTGTCTATTGAGCTGTTTGGCAAAGTGCACGACGTCTTGAAGAAGCAGGGATCCTTCGATCTCCGATTGAAAGAGGATGAGGTGGAGCTTTTGGACAATGTCCCTGAGCGCTTGAAGGTGTACCTCCACGAAGAGATGTTTCTCGGATCTCTGATGTCCCTCCACTGTTGGAGGGGTTGGAAGAAGCTGGACGACGACGAGGCCGTCGGTGCAAAAGTGCTACAGCATGGAACCCGTGACAGCCGGCCGTAAGCCTTAACCCTCAACCCAAAGCCACCACCCTGGCAGATGTCCCATTCCACAAAGGGTGTGCGAGATGTAACTGCTGTAAGCACCGGTTTCCTGGCTTCGGACTGCGGGAGTTGTACGAAGCCCAGAGCACCAGAAGCCTTCAGAATCCCTTAAGGAAGCCCCAGAAGACCGAGTAACCCTGAAAAAAACCGGAGACCTAAACCCCAATAGCCCTAGCCTTTGAAGCTCTAGAAACCCTTAGAAAGCCCCTAAACTCCTTTAACACCGCCCCCTGGTGGAGCAGCTCCCTGAGGACTTTATCCGCCAGGTTTGCCATTTTGCCATGGCCGAGCACGTGGCGACTCCGGGCCAGGATCGGGATGTCCTTCGTGGGTTTTTGTGGTCTCGTGTATAGCGTAGTTAGTGTTGCAGATATAGTGTAGTCTATAGTGTTTTATATAATGTAGTGTTTGGTGCGGTATACAGTATATGTGGTGTATAGTGAGTAACTCGTGCAGTATATAGTGTAGTCTATAGTGTAGTAAATCGTCTAATGTATATAGATAGTCTAGTATATAGTATAGTATAGTATAGGGTGTAGTATATGGTCCAGTATGCAGTAGAAAATGCAGTGTAGTATACATGACATAGTTTTTTGTATATGGTACTTAGTAGAGAGTGTATAGTATACAGTCTATATTCTGTAGTATGTAGTCTTATAGTATATGGTATATGGCATAAGGTCTTTGGTATAGGGTTTTTAGTATATAGTATACAGTACAGAGTCTATAGTGGAGAGTATATAGTATAGGATGGGGATGTCTGGTCTCAGAGTTTGGGCATTCGGGTCTAGAGCACATGTATTCGTATGCACATACATACATACATACATACATACACACATACATACATACATACATACATACATACATACATGCATACATGCACACATGCATACACACACACACAACCACACACACACACACAACCACACACAACACACACACACAGCACAACACACACACACAACCAACACACACACACACAACCAACACACACACACAACCAACACACACACACACAACCAACACACACACACAACCAACACACACACAACCAACACACACACAACCAACACACACACAACCAACACACACACAACCAACACACACACACACACACACCCAACACACACAC